GGGCTAGCTGGGATGTGGGTGGGAGGAATGAGGAGTGAAGGCAAATGGGTGTGGGGTTTCTTTTTGGGGTGATAAAAATGTACAGTTGATTGTGGTAATGATTGCACAACTTCCTGAATATACTGAGTCATTAATAGGTGTCTTACATTGGTGTGTGAATCATATATCAAGATTTCTTTTAAAGCTAAATATACATTTACCCTGTGACTGAGCACCCTTATCCTTGGGCCGTTTATCCAAAAGAAATGAGAACTTAGGTTCACATAAAACCCTGTATATTATTGTTCATGGCAACTTTATTAGTAATAGTAAAAAAATGGAAAGTATATATAAATACGTGTATATATGTATATATATTTTGCATCAGGTGAATGGTTAAACAAATGGTTAATGGTTAAATGTCCATACTGTGGATGCTAGCTAGTAATAAAAAGGAAGAAACTTGATACATGCAGAAAATTGGTTGGATTGTAGCCATTAAATTGAGTGGAAAAAATCTCAAAAAGGGTGCATGCTTTGATCATATTTATGTAACATTCTCAAAATGACAAAGTTGTAGAGTTGGGTACAGATTAATGGTTATCAGGAGTCGAGGGATGGTGCCAGGGAGTTGGAGTAACTAGTGGGTGATCTGTATGGTGAGGGGAGTGTTTCGTATCTTGAACATGTGGCACCTAAAGGAATTTATGTATGTAACAGAGTGACAACTATACACACATTATACTAATGTCATTTTGTTGGTTTAATGAAATTAACAAATTGTACTGTAATGATGTAAGATCTAACCACTGGGGAAATAGGGACCATCTTTGCAACTTTCTGTGAATCTGCAGCTATGTCAAAATAAAAAGTTGAGGCCAGGCACGATAGCTCAGATCTGTAATCCCAGCACTTTGGGAGGCCGAGGTGGGTGGATCACCTGAGGTCAGGAGTTTGAGACCAACCTGGTCAACATGGCAAAACCCTGTCTCTACTAAAAATACAAAAATTAGCTGGGCATGGTGGTGCATGCCTATAGTCCCAGTTACTCAGGAGGCTGAGGCACGAGGTTCTTGCTTGAAACTGGGGGATGGAGGTTGCAGAGAGCCGAGATCACACCACTGCACCCCAGCCTAGGAGACAGAGCAAGACTCCGTCTCAAAAAAAAAAAAAAGTGGAAACTTCATAACTCACACGACTGTTTTGGTTGAGAGTTACTAGAAGCTTGTGATTAAAGCTTTTAAAAACTGTCCTAAATAATAGGCAAGCTGTCTTCCAGGTTTCTAACATTTTTGGGTTATGCTTGGCTTTTAAAGAGGTTTTCGTAACAAAATTTATATATGAGAGTTCTGCATAGTATGTAAGAAACAGGAAACAAAGCTAAACTGTATATATTCATATTCATATTTAGAAATATTTAGAAGAGATACTTAGAAAAATGCTACGACTTCCTTGAATTCCAAGGTTAAATATGTTGATTTCTACTATTTTATTTATAATATTAAAAATAATCTAAATGAAGTAAATTTTTATAAGTGACAGTATTTTCTCTTAGAAAAATATTTTCAGACTTGGTATTTAGGATTATAATTAGAATGCTTAATAAGCTGAACAGGAAAGATCTTGTTTATGTTATTAATAACCTTTATGGAAGACACTCTAAATTTTTTGTGAATACATTTCATCTCTGTTAAGATACTCTCCTTGGCTGGGTGTGGTGGCTCAAGCCTGTAATCCCAGCACTTTGGGAGGCCGAGGTGGGTGGATCACGAGGTCAGGAGTTTGAGACCAGCCCGGCCAATGTGGTGAAACCCTGTCTCTACTAAAAAACACAAAAATAGCCAGGCGTGGTGGTGGGCGCCTGTAATCACAGCTACTCGGGAGGCTGAGGCAGGAGAATTGCTTGAACTCGGGAGGCTGAGGTTGTATTGAACCAGAGATTGCGCCATTGCACTCCAACCTGGCGACGGAGTGAGACTCTGACTCAAAAAAAAAAAAAAAAAAACTCTCCTTTATGTTTAGATAAACTTATTTTTCAAAACAGGCTGACTTGTTTAAAAAGAAGGGCATGCTAGTGATTTTAAAATATTGTAGAAAAGGAATCATTCTATAACAAAGTAAGGAGGTGTTAGGGCTATTGAGTAAATGAGAGCCATTTGGAAGGAAAAGAATAGCATTTCAGGGATGTGTGTCTGCACCTGGTAATGTCGAGGGAGTTGATTATGAAGAGGGCTGGACACACCAGAAGTAAGGTCTTGCCTTGAGGCACAGAGCTATTGCTGTTGCGTAAGTCACCAGTGTAACCGTCTACTTGGAATTTAGATGTTTACATAGGCCTTATGTGTATTTTAAAGGTTAGAATATTTTTCCATTATGCTGATATATTCATTTAATAGAACCTTCTGCTACTCTTGGGACTTGGGCCAGTCTTTTCTGTAAATGAAGATGATGGAGGCATGTTGGCTTCAGGGAAATTGTGGGTGTGTCCTGCTTTGCTTTCAGCTGCACGTGGGGCAGGCATTCTGTGACAGTGAGGTGCTGAGCTGGCCTGACTATAGGATTGTGTTCATGGGAGGAGGGATCAGTAATAGCAGAAAATCAGCGGGTAATGTTCAAAATAGTAAAATCTGTAGTCGAAGAAAGAAGATATGTATGTAAATATATTACCTAAGATTATAGTAAGTAACGTAGTGATATAATTGGGAGGAAGGATGGATAATAACAGGAAATGAGTAGAAAATGCCCAAAGTGGGTAAATAATAATGTTTATGTTAGAGATTTGAATAACTTAATCCCATGTGGTTAGTTTGAATTGAGATATGCTGTAAATATACACGCTGAATTTCAAAGAGGTAATCATAAAATATCCCATTGTTTTTTATGTTGACTATAAAATGTTTTAAACATTGGGTTAAGCAAATCATTAAAAGGAATTTCATATGCTTTTATTTTAAAAAATGTGGACACTGGAAAATTTATATCCATGGCTTGCATTGTATTCCTATTGGACGGCATGTCTAGAATGTGTGGTCTAGAATACGCAGTTAACATTGGTTCCCTGGGGGGAGTAGACCATGCCTCTGTTGGACACCATGAGTCTAGGATGTGTGGTCTAGAATACGCAATTAACATTGGTTCCCTCGGGGGAGTAGACCGTGCCTCTGTTGGACACCATGAGTCTAGGATGTGTGGTCTAGAATACGCAATTAACATTGGTTCCCTGGGGGGAGTAGACTATGCCTAGGGAATGTTGGGTAAAGGGAGAGCTATTTTTTTTTTTTTTAATTTTAAACTTCTTTTTTGCCATTTGATACTTAAGATGGTAATGAAATTTGATAAAGAAATTACCCCTTTAATAAAGGCTGTGGTCCCTACCTTAAAACATCTTAATTTGTCATATTCTAAATTATATAGTTAATGTTAACCATAGTAAGGAAACTTGTAATTAGAAATCATCATTATCTTGTTCACTGTTTTTCTTTTGTTTCAACTCGCTATATCAGAAACACTGTTCTTTTCTTGCTGTTTTTAGCTTATTGCAGGAGTGACCAGGACACTACCTTCTAGAAGTAATGCCCACAGAAAGCGCAAGTTGTTCGACTGCTCGCCAAGCAAAACAGAAGCGCAAATCCCATAGCCTTTCTATACGAAGAACCAACAGCTCGGAGCAGGAGAGGACGGGACTGCCGAGAGACATGTTAGAAGGACAAGTAAGCTACAACTGATCAGGGCCTTATTGATTGATTGATTTTTGAGACGGAGTTTTACTTTTGTTTCCCGGGCTGGAGTGCAATGGCGTGATCTCCACTCACCGCAACCTCCACCTCCCAGGTTCAAGCAATTCTCCTGCCTCAGCCTCCTAAGTAGCTAGGATTACAGGCATGCGCCAACATGCCTGGCTGATCTTGTATTTTTAGTAGAGACGGGGTTTCACCATGTTGATCAGGCTGGTCTCGAACTCCCAACCTCAGGTGATCACCCACCTCGGCTTCCCAAAGTGCTAGGATTACAGGCTTGAGCCACCGGGCCCAGGATCAAGGTCTTATTTTAAAGATGGTGATTATGTCTGTAATGTTATAAAAGTAGGCAAATGTGTAAAGTTCTCCAAAGTAGAAAAGAGGTTTGGGTTACTAAAAAATGATCACTCCTCCCAAACTCCCCCAAAATAAACTCGTTAAAACTTCTGTCAAATACAACAGCATACACAGATGGGTTAGCATATGTATACTAGGTAATAACAAATCAAAGTAGGTATGAGAGTTTGGATTAGTTTTATTCTTTGTACAGCTTTGTGGACAGTACAATTCTGGGTTTTCTGTCTCTAATAGTCTCAAGAAAAGGAGAGTATCATATCCTTTTAATGATCTCTTTCTGTTCTCTGAAGAGTTTTTGGAATCAGATCTTTTAGTGATTTGACTTGGCTTTATCCTTGTCTCTGCTGCAGTGAGTAAATGTCATCCTTGGATTAAAATGAACTAATTATTTTTGATAAAGATAAGTTTTGCTTATACTTTTTCTAGTTCGTTTATAGCTGATGAAATTCTGTCAGAATTTTTGAAGAGTATTATGAAGCCTAGACGCAGTATATGTTACATTAAAATAAACTCTAGATATATCTAATATATGGTTATATATGTCTGTAACTGTATATAAACTTACAACCATTTCTTCACAATTGGAACACATTCATCAGCCATAATGCTGAGGAAGATAGGGCTTAAACCTGAGAAATTGGCTTCTGTGAATATTGGATCTTGTTAGAACCTTGTGGGTAACTTTATGCCAGGACTTTGAGGCCGGGACCTCTACGCTGAATACAACAGTGTGAACCCGGAACTCAACATGATTGCTGCCACGAAGAGGATCTTCAACTCCAATTAGATGAATATGCGTTGAATAAATAAACCTGGTTTATTGAATATGAATAAATACCTGGTTCTAATTTCTATAAAAAATGATTACATTTTAACTTAGTGTTCAAAATAAAATTATAAAAATAGCTTTGGTATTCTTAGTGTATTACTTTGCTAGGACTCCCATAACAAAATGCCCCAGACTGGGCAGCTTAACAGACTGGGCAGCTTAAACAACAGACGTTTATAGTTTCTCCTAGTCCTTCCAGGCAGCTGGAAGTCTTAGATCAAGGTGTGGGCAGGGCTGGTTCCTCCTGAGGCCTCTGTCCGTGGCTTGCAGACACTGTCTTCTCCCTGTGTCCTCACAGAGTTGTCCCTCTGTGCGTGTCTGTGTCCTAGTCTCTTCTTATGAGGACCTGTCATACCGGAGGGCCCTCCTTTATGACCTCATTTTACTCTCACCACCTCTTTGAGGGCCCTGCTTCCAAACACAGTCGCATGCTGAGGTCCTGGGCTTTTGGACCTCAGCATGGGACTTCTAGGGGACCCCGTTCAACACAGCACTTAGGAAACAGCAGAGCTGAGTGGCAGGACTCCTGTGGTGTTGGCAGTGTCTGTATCTGTATCTGTGCTGCCTGATGTGGGAACCACCAGTCACATGTGGCTACTGAGTGCTTGAAATTTGGCCAGTGTCCCGGGACATGAAATTTTAATTTTTAAAACTTTAATTACATTGAAATTTACATAGTCAGATGTGGCAAGTGGCTACCCTATTGGACAGTGTGAGTGAGCAGTCTCAGGTTTTCCTAATTTGTAGGTTCACGTACATTTCTAGCAGTGGAAACCCTGCAGCCCCCTCTGCTGGCATATTCTAGAGTTGTCCCCCACCTGGGGTGAATGTGTTCTCCTCTGGGCCCTGAATGCCCATTCTCCTTTGTGACACAGCATAGGCGGTGACTGCATCTCATGGTAACCCTCACGAAGGTAGCTCAGAGGTCTCCAAGCTGCACGGCCTCGTCCTCTGCCCCACCTTCGGCCTCTGTGTCTCCCACGCTGGCTCCCTAGACGGAGCTCATTTGTTTAATGAGCAGTGATTTGGAGTGGGACCAGCCAGCATGTTCTGTGAGTGGCCAGCGTGAGGTGCTCTGCCTTCCCGCTGCGGTGGGCAGGAGAGAGCGGTGGTGTCTGCTGCACGCGTTTGGCATGGTAGGTGTGAGGGGCGATCTCAGAACGGAGGTGTTTGTTAACGTAGGAGTGGTCTCGTTCTAGACAGTGTAGAGCAATGCCCTTTCAGTTGTTGAGGAGCAGCAACATAGAAGAGAGGGCAGATGAGTCTGAGGGAGACATCGTGTTAGGTTTAACTTTATATGTCTCAGATTTGCCAGTCTGAAGTAGCTTAGAAAGCCAGGTTCCCGCAGGCACGGGAGGTCTGTCATTGCCGAGAGCTGCGACGTCCACGTGCACACAGTGCTGGCTGCGGCCTGAAGAGCTGGCTGCTCCCTGCACGTGTGCCCCGTGGCTTTCAGGTGTGTGTTGGTGTCGATGTGATGAAAGAAATTCATTTAAAAGCTTTGCTGAGTCATAGCAGTGGTGTCTTGAGTTTTGTTAAGTGGTACCGAAAATTCAACAACTTGTTTTAGAGTCCGTGAAATGGAACGGCATAGAAAGGGAGAACTGATGGAAAAGGTTGAAAGTCGTTGTGTAAGCGCGCTCTTCCTGGGCTCAAGTTGCCCTCTAGTGGGAAAGGCCTCATTGTGCTGTGCATTTAGTTTCTTGATTATAAAGTGAGGTTAATGCTGACTTCTCAGCTTACTTTTCCATAGCAATTCCTGTTTTTAAAAAATTATACTTTAAGTTCCGGGGTACATGTGCAGAACATGCAGGTTTGTTACATAGGTATACACGTGCCATGGTGGTTTGCTGCACTCATCAACCCATCACCTACATAAGGTATTTCTCCTAATGCTCTCCCTCCCCCAGCCCCCCACGCCCCGACAGGCCCTGGTGTATGATGTTCCCCTCCCTGTGTCCATGTGTTAGCAGTTACTTTTATATTAATATGCACTTAATATTCAAGTATATATGACATGATGTAATTAGTTGCTGAACAATAAGAGCCTTAAAACATGACGGGTATAGATGAGTAGGGACTGATTCTGTAGGAGGAGATTGCCCTCGTGTAGGAGCCAGAAGGGCTTCTGAGGACGTGATATTCGTGGAGAGGGATATTCACAGAGAGGGAATGGGGCATGTGGAGGCCACAGGGCAGGGAAAATACTAATAGCGATTCTCAGTTCAGTGCAAGCTTATGTTTCGTAGTTACTGGAACTTCTATTTTTTTTTTTTTTTTTTTGAGACGGAGCCTTGCTCTGTCATCCAGGCTGGAGAGCAGTAGTGTGACCTCGGCTCACTGCAACCTCTACCTCCCGGGTTTGAGCAATTCTCCTGCCTCAGCCTCCCAAATAGCTGGGATTACAGGCACCTGCCACTCCTGGCTAATTTTTGTATTTTTAGTAGGGAGTTTCACCATGTTGACGGGCTGGTCTCGAACCCCTGACCTCAGGTGATCTGCCCACCTTGGCCTCCCAAAGTGCTGGGGTTATAGGCGTGAGCCACCGTGCCTGGCTGGGACATCCTTTTTGATGGCCTAGTTTTAATTTTGATTGTTGCATTTTCCTTCCTTTTTTTTCGTGTTCTTCATTGGTTTTAGAAGGATGTTTAGAGACTATAGTACCAATTCTGTAGATTCAGTATTTAAAGTAGTATATTTATGTGTGTGTGTGTGTGTGTAGTTTGTGAAGTTTATGTGAGAAATCTGTGATAACTGTAAAACTCACATTGCTAAAATGCTGTCATTTTTCCTTAAAATTTCTGTCTTTTAAGTTAATCTCAGAAGGGTTTAATAAATATTGTGCATCTTTTTTAAAAGTTTACAACTCTGCAGGGCGTGGTGGCTCACACCTGTAATCCTAGCACTTTGGGAGTCCGAGGCGGGCGGATCACGAGGTCAGGAGAAGGAGACCATCCTGGCTAACACGGTGAAACCCCGTCTCTACTAAAATTACAAAAAATTAGCCGGGTGTGGTGGCAGGCGCCTGTAGTCCCAGCTACTCGGGAGGCTGAGGCAGGAGAATGACGTGAACCCGGGAGAAGGAACTTTCAGTGAGCCAGGGTTGCGCCAGCCTGGGTGACAGAGCGAGACTCCATGTCAAAAAAAAAAAAAAAAAAATTTACAGCTCATCAAAAAAGTTTATGCAATATGTAAATTTGAAAAGTCCCATAGAAAGGTTAAAGATCAGCCAGGCTCAGTGGCTCACGCCTGTAATCCCAGCACTTTGGGAGGCCAAGGCGGGCGAATCACAAGGTCAGGAGATGGAGACCATCCTGGCCAACATGGAGAAACCCCGTCTCTACTAAAACTACAAAAATTAGCTGGGTGTGGTGGCGCGCGCCTATGGTCCCAGCTACTGGGGAGGCTGAGGCAGGAGAATTGCTTGAACCTGGGAGGCGGAGCTTGCAGTGAGTGGAGATCACATCACTGCACTCCAGCCTGGGTGACAGAGCAAGACTCCGTCTCCAAAAAAAAAAAAAAAAAAGTTAGGTATTAAAACACTATTTTAGAAATATTTGATGAGGATTTTTTTGAAAATTACTCTGGGTGTTGGGAGTAGGGGACACATACCAAATAGTACATAGGCCATGCCCTCAGGGAGGTTGGAGTGGCATGTGGCTGTATCTAGCAGGCTCCTGTTGACTGGTGGGTTCAAGCAGTGAGTGCCTGTGATATGTTTAGTGCCCAGGACCTGCTCACTTGCTGGACCACACTTGACAATGTCGCTCCTTCCCTTCGCCTTCCCAGGGGTGTGGGAAACACACAGGCACGAAGAACGTGGCCCAGGCGGGAAATTAAAAGTTAATGTTTTCACTCACTTAATAGACATTTGGCTCTTTTTTGTGAGATTTTTCTTTTTTTCCTCTTCACAACACTCTTTTAGGTGTTGTGTAGAGTGACGGGAAGAGTGACTGTGCTTTTGCTTGAAGTGCAGTGGGCATGGTGGGAACTCTGCAGAGGTGCCTCTTCTATGAGGGTCTAGCAGATGAAAATACTCATAGGATAGTGTCTGATGGCACTCAGAGACTGTTTATAATAGTTCATTTATGGGAGCTGCCGCCTTTCTCTACAAATTTGGAAGTTTTAAAGTAAGGTAGGTTTATGTCCTCTCTTGAAAGGGAAAAATTGTGTTATTTTGAAGGAGTGTTTGTTTTTAAATCCCGTATCACACTAGGTAGCCATTTATACAATTTGATTCATAGTTTCCTTGGCAGAAATTTGGAAATTTAAACTTTTTAAGCATTTTATGTATAAAAATATGTAATGATACAAAACAAGAGTTTAGAATAAAAGATAATTCACTTTGGAAAAAGTTTAGAGTTATTCATTCATTCATTCATTCATTCATTTTAAACAAAGTCTTCTTCTGCAGGATTCTAAACTGCCTTCCTCGGTTCGCAGTACACTTCTGGAACTGTTTGGTCAAATAGAAAGAGAGTTTGAAAACCTTTATATTGAAAACTTAGAATGTGAGTATCTCCTATTTTAATATATTTTTATAGCTTTACCTATCCATAGAAATCTTTGAAAGTCAAATATATGAATTGACATTCATCACTATATTAGTTTTCTGCTCTGCTGTAGCAAACTTAAACTTATTTTAGTGGCTTAAACTAACACAGATTTGTCATCTTGCAGTTCTGTGGGTCTGGTATGATTCCCGCGAGGCCACAGTCGGGTGTTGGCCAAGCTCCAATCCCTCTGGAGGCTCCGGGGAGGAATGTTCCTGCGTGTTTGGATTGTGACAGAATTCAGTTCTTTGCAATTTTAGGATGGAGGTCCGCGTGCTGCACTCCTTGCCTCCTGGCCCCTTCCCTCTTGCTGGAGTCCTGCTTGCTCTCTGACCCGCCCTCTGAAGGATTGGGCTCCAGGATAGTCCAAGCGCATCTCCCACTGCAGAGTCCTTGTGCCTGTGCTGGGTCCTGTTCACAGGTTATGGGCTTAAGGCATGGGCATCTTTGGGGGGTTCATCATCCTGCTTACTGCACTGACCAGTCCAAATTGTGATTTTATAAAAAGCACATGGATCTTGGCCAGGCGCGGTGGCTCACGCCTGTAATCCCAGCACTTTGGGAGGCTGAGGCGGGTGGGTCACGAGGTCGGGAGATCCAGACCATCCTGGCTAACACAGTGAAACCCCATCTCTACTAAAAATACAAAAAATTTAGCTGGGCGTGGTGGCGGGTGCCTGTAGTCCCAGCTACTCAGGAGGCTGAGGCAGGAAAATGGCGTGAACCCAGGAGGTGGAGCTTGCAGTGAGCCGAGATGGCGCCACTGCACTCCAGCCTGGGTGACAGAGCGAGACACTGTCTCAGAAAACAAAAATAAAAAGTAAAAAATAAAAAATAAGAAATACATGGATCTTATAATTTTCCCTACACCAAGTACACCATAAGTTGAGAAAACATTGATTTACCTTTTTATTAACATACTATCATTTGAAAATTGATGCATATACTATATCTGACTTATTAAAGGCAAATCAAAACAATTTTGAATTAGCTTGGCTTTAATTTTTCTTTCTTTTTTTATTTTGGAAGTAATGACCATATATGCTTAAAAATTTATCAAACAGTGTAAAAAGAAATCTACCATTACCCCTCAAGCCCATCACACTCTTCAAAGGAAGACATTTTCTGCATGTTTTTGCTTTTGGTTCTTTTGGTGGTTAGTCCTGTGGGCACCCACCACCACGCCTGGCTAATTTTTGTATGTTTAGTAGAGAAGGGGTTTTGCCATGTTGGCCAGGCTGGTCTTGAACTCCTGACCTCAAGTGATCTGCCTGCCTCGGCCTCCAAAATTGTTGGGATTACAGGCATGAGCTACTGTGTCCAGCCCAGCATAATGTTTTTAACTGTGCAGAATCAAGCACTATGGAAACTGTTGAAATGCAGGTGCTATCTTTGAGACCCTGATAGCAGTGTCTTCCACAGTGTAGCAAATGTGTGAACTTTTATTTTTGGAATGGTATCTCGAATGATTTCTTTAGTTTTTTGAGAACTCTATCAATTGTGATCTTGCTTATTAGAATATTATTCACGTCTTTGTTTATATAACACTAATATATAACATTTTTTCTGTGTGCAAGTTTTGGAATTGGTGAGTACACTTAAACATAAAAATATATTTTACATTTTTGAAAACTTTTTTCTTCCCAGTACGTAGAGAAATCGACACTCTTAATGAACGTTTAGCTGCTGAAGGACAAGCGATTGATGGAGCAGAGCTGAGTAAGGGCCAACTCAAAACAAAAGGTGAGGTGAATTCCCGTGAAAGTCTTCTCCTGCAGATTATGTATGTAGGACATTTGGAATTTAGTGAAGGACGCTGGCTGGTTTGCGTTTTGCTGTCAGCAAACCTTGAACTATCTAATTCAGGTGTGGGTCTAAGAGAATAAGGAGCTCGGTTCTTGTTCCTGTTCCGCCATGGCTCTGTGTCACCAGGGTCAGACGAGCGCTTCTGGGCACCCTTTCTTCCTGTGCAAGACACAAGACCCATTTGCAAGGCTGTGAGTCTTTGATTGTGTGATTGTGTTTGATTGTCACTCTCTGTCCCTGCAGCCAGTCACAGCACCAGCCAGCTCTCCCAGAAACTGAAGACCACTTACAAGGCTTCCACCAGCAAGGTATGCAGGCCACTGGCTCTCGAGCCATCATGTGGTGGTTAAGGTGTGCAAATACTTACTTTAAGTCGCATATTTTCCAATTAGAAAGGCATAGTAGAAAAACATAAATGGTTTTAAGGGAAATTTAGTTTTTTAAAGGAATGTCCTGACTGGGCATGGTGGCTCATGCCTGTAATCCCAGTACTTTGGGAGGCCGAGGCGGGCGGATCACTTGAGGTCAGGAGTTTGAGACCAGCTTGGCCAACATGGCGAAACCCTGTCTCTACTAAAAATACAAAAATTACCTGGACGTGGTGGCGGGTGCCTGCAATCCCAGCTACTTGAGAGGCTGAGGCATGAGAATCGCTTAAGCCTGGGAGGTGGAGTGCAGTGAGCTGAGATTACACCACCACACTCTAGCCTGGACAACAGAGTGAGACTCTGTCTCAAAAAAAAAAAAAAAAAAAAAAAAAGAATGTCAGTATGCAGGCATTTACACAGTAGCTTACCCTAGTACCCACAGGGGTTAATATATGATGTTTTAGTAAATATATTGTCTTTAGAGGGAATATATAATTTCTGTTGTTAATTGGCTTAATATAAAGGATCTGAATTTGGAGGAAGCTAATAAATAGGTACAAATTAGTGAAAATTATGTTCTGAGCTAAAGTTACGTTTTAGTTCATTATGTTCTTTTCCTCAGTTTCCTAAGTGTGATCAGGAAGTGAAAGTCTGTCTCTGAGACAAATAGGGATGTTCATGGTGTTTTGTATTTTCTTTCTTTTTTTTTTTTTTTTTTTTTGAGACGGAGTCTGGCTCTGTCACCCAGGCTGGAGTGCAGTGGCGCGATCTTGGCTCACTGCAAGCTCCGCCTCCCGGGTTTACGCCATTCTCCTGCCTCAGCCTCCCGAGTAGCTGGGACTACAGGCGCCCGCCACCTCGCCCGGCTAGTTTTTTGTATTTTTTAGTAGAGACGGGGTTTCACCGTATTAGCCAGGATGGTCTTGATCTCCTGACCTCGTGATCCGCCCGTCTCGGCCTCCCAAAGTGCTGGGATTACAGGCTTGAGCCACCGCGCCTGGCCTGTATTTTCTTAAAGTATCTCGTGCTGACCTTCTTAAAGTGGCAAAGGTTTAAATGTTTGGAAATTCATTTGTCTATGATGAATTACTACTATCAAGTGATATTTTGAGGTAATTTTGTATGCGTCTGTATTTTGGCATATTTCAAGGATACAAAAGATAAATTGAAATTTTCAGTGATCCTGCTATGATGGTGTAAGTAGTTCTTATTAGCTTTTTATTTTTCCAGTCTGTTTCCTTGAGTTTAAAGTTATTTAGCATGACATCTATAGTAAGATTAACTACAATTAATAGAGCAAATTCAGTCCTTCTGCCATTTGTCCTCATGTGATAGTCTTTGGTAATTCTTTGTTATTCAAAAGAAAATCGGAAATTCCTGGTATTTTCTACTGTACTTTCCTTTGATAATATCTAGAATATAAGTTGCTAATTTATTTTTTTGGCCATGTAATATCTAGCTTATACTTACAAGTTTTGAATTTTTTAATAAATCAACTTGAAGCCTTTTCTTCATAATGAAGTGTGAAATTATGTTCTTCCTCATTTAATTTCTTGTTACATTATCTTGGATTATGTTGCTTTTTCTGGTGTGTAGAGTTGTATGTATACAATGTATGGTCTTGGAATTCCAAAACTTTCTCGTTATTACTGAAGTAGAGGAAGAAATGATTATATAAAGTTGTCGTTTACCATGAGCAGTAAAAAACAAGATTTGAACAAGGGTAAGGATATGTATAGTAATGCTTTGCTTTAAAAAATGTATTAGAGATATTGGCCGGGCACGGTGGCTCAAGCCTGTAATCCCAGCACTTTGGGAGGCCGAGGCGGGCGGATCATGAGGTCAGGAGATCAAGACCATCCTGGCTAACATGGTGAAACCCCGTCTCTACTAAAAATACAAAAAAATTAGCCAGATGTGGTGGCAGGCACCTGTAGTCCCAGCTACTCAGGAGGCTGAGGCAGGTGAATGGCGTGAACCCGGGAGGCGGAGCTTGCAGTGAGCTGAGATCGCACCACTGCACTCCAGCCTGGGCGACAGAGCAAGACTCTGTCTCAAAAAAAAAAAAAAAAAGTATTAGAGATATTTAAAGCCCAGTCATTTTAAGTACTAGAAATTCATCTGAATTTATAAGAAGCATATTACTAATGATCTTCATAGTTTTTGCACACTGCCTATACCCATTGTAAAAAATAACTATGAAAATATAAGACATCTGAAGATTGAAGAAATAATTTGGTAACAATATATTCTGATTTGTACTACAGTGTGGATTCTTGGTACCAAAGCTAAACATGAATGCGACAAGAGAAAGGCTACACAGTCTAGATTTATTACTTTCCCTCCTTCTGACCCAGAGCCATGAAAAGCAAGTAGCGTGCTGGGTGGGATATCAGGAACATGAAAGTGTGTTACGTGAACGCAGAAGAGGTTTTCCCCCCTTCCTTGGTGGCTAATGAGATTTCTGATGCCTACGTGGGAGGGAAGTGAGGCAGTCTAACCTGCAGCCCACTTTAAAGAAACTTATAAAAATCAGAAAGGTCTTTTTCCACAAAGAAAGATACTTATCTTCTTAAAAATATTTACAGACATTTTCACAACAGTGCTTTAGATTGCGCCTCAGTTAAAATGATCTGGGATGACGGGCGTGAGCATCAATTTGCTGCTTCATTCTGCTGCTTTTCTGTTTTGAACGTTCCCTCTAAGTAATTCAGTCTGTTTTGGTGGGTCTCTTGGTAATGACGACTAAGTCAGCATTTTTAAGGAAAAAGAGTTAAGGTAATAGATGGTCAGAGTGTGGTGGGCATTTTGGAAGCAACACATGAGAAAATATTTGAAAACGGCACACGATCTCCTGCATAGCTCCAGCAGCAGTGCAGTCAGAGCCTCCGGAAAGGAGCCACTCTGTTCTTACCCTGGGAATGCAGCAGGTGAAGAATGTAGCTCTAATAGTTTGTTTCTTATAATACTGTTATTAATGTTAGAAGTGGTGAGAGACTTGGAAAATGAAATTTACTACAATATTGTTATTTATGTTAGAAATGGTGAGAGACATGGAAAATGAAATTTACTACAATACTGTTATTAATGTTACAAATGGTGAGAGACGTGGAAAATGAAATTTACTACAATACTGTTATTAATGTTAGAAATGGTGAGAGACGTGGAAAGTGAAATTTACTATTATACTGTTATTTATGTTAGAAATGGTGAGAGACTTGGAAAATGAAATTTACCACAGCTTATTATGGTGGGAGGTTGTGTATGTCCTTTAATTTCACTCCCTGCTAAAATGTTATAATATTATTTAACATCTGAATGACACATTCTCTAAGCAAAAGCGTTTCCCATGTGGTGGAGGCATAATTGTGTGGGATTGAATAGGATATAAGTGTTCAGAAAGAAAAGAGGATAGTGATGGGTTTGAGGTTGAACAAGTGCTTTTGCAATTCCTGTGACCAGTTCCAGTAGAAGTTCTTTCTGTTACTGCTGAAAATGTTGGCCTCTTCCTCAGCCTTTTGTGTCATTGTATCCGGCAAGAATAACTCGAGGGTGCAGACCCAAATCGATGTGACAGTGGGGTTGTGCTTTCATGGCTTAGGAAGAATGAATTTAGATCTGTTTTTCAGGGCTGTGCCAAATCAGTGTTTAAAGCAAGTTGTGTAATGCCACTGATTTTTGTTTTTCACTTAATTTTTTTGTTTTATTCTGAAAAGTCTACATTATTCTGATTTACTTGACTGCTGGACAGCTGTTTTCTTACCCAAGAAAAATTTAAAAAGCAAACTCTGCAGAAATCGTTGTGTTGTTTTAGTTTCTTCCTCACTCACTTCATATTTTTCCTGACAAGAGGACACGAGAACTGTCTGCTGTGTGTGTCGTCATTCGACACGATGCCTTACTCTGGTCCGTGCTGTGTTTGCGTTGTCTCCTGCTGGGCTGAGCATGTCTGAAAGGCCAGGGGCCCACGGCCACGCTGCTCCACATCCTCATAGCTGGTGCGTGCTCTGAGCGAGCGCCGAGTCTTGGACAAACCGGCACACCTGTTAGTGTCACCTTTTGATTCCTTCCCACCACGGGCTTTTTTCCACTTGATAATATGTGGTTGGTGTAAATTCTCAAAAACAGCGAAATGTGAACATGTACAGCAATCAGTGTCATTAGCTACAGTTAAGGGTTTGTGATGTCCTTCCTGACTTTTTCGTGTCTGAGTGGCTAGCTAACAATTTGTTTTTTTAAGAATTTGGAAATTTTGTCCGATGGTTTGGGTTTGGGGGAGAGTGACCTGAAACACCTGAATCTACCCTTCTGCAGTGAGACCTTCCATGACTGGCTGTCAGACTGAGGTGGGGGAGCCTCCACAGGTTGCCGCGAGAGCTGTACGCGCTCTCTGTGATATGAGCTGAACCCACCACCCTTTCCACACAGGGCGTTTCAGCTCACACTTGTGCTGTGTTCCTTGATGCTTTAACAGTCTTAGTCAGTGATTTGTGCATTTTCCAGGATGTCTTTTTCATTTTCTCTTTCTTGACTTAGAAAAATTTACTTCAGTAAATTGTTTTATAAGACTCCTCATCTCGGTTTCAGATTGTCTCCAGCTTTAAGACCACGACATCACGAGCTGCCTGCCAGCTCGTGAAGGAATACATCGGCCACCGGGACGGCATCTGGGATGTCAGCGTGGCCAGGACACAGCCAGTGGTGCTCGGGACTGCGTCGGCCGGTGAGTTGCACATGGACCTGGCCAGTCTGCGGAAGCATGGCTGTGCCTGGTACCTGAGTGACGGACATTCACTTTTCTGTGACAGAGGAACCCTAGATGCAAACGTGTCCTGGAGGAGTCAGTGGAACCAACACATTAGCCCTTGGTGATGCTTAGTGCTGCGGCCTGCAGTCCTGCATTCCGTGGTCCCGTGGGTGGGTGTCCGACTGCACCCTGCATTCCGTGGTCTCGTGGGAGGGTGTCCGGCTGCACCCTGCATTCTGTGGTCCCATGGATAGATGTGCATCTGCACCCTACATTCCGTGGTCCTGTGGGTGGGTGTCCGGCTGCACCCTGCTTTCCGTGGTCTCGTGGGAGGGTGTCCGGCTGCACCCTGCATTCTGTGGTCCCGTGGATAGATGTGCTTCTGCACCGTCTTTTCCAGGTCCCCGTGGGTAGGGCGTTGCAACTCATGGTGAACCAAGTATCTGAGGAAAAAATACTTGTTTGGAATTGATTTAACTTAAATGTGTTGAGGAATCAGTATTCCAATTATTCGTTTTCTTTTTTTTTTGAGATGGAGTCTTGCTCTGTCACCCAGGCTGGAGTGCAGTGGCGCGATCTCGGCTCACTGCAACCTCCGCCGCCTCCTGGGTTCAAGCAATTCTCCTGCCTCAGCCTCCCGAGTAGCTGGGACTATAGGCACCTGCCACCACGCCCGGCTAATTTTTTTTTGTGTGTGTATTTTTAGTAGAGGTGGGGTTTCACCGTGTTAGCCAGGATGGCCTCAATCTTGTGACCTTGTGATCTGCCCGCCTTGGCCTCCCAAAGTGTTGGGATTACAAGCATGAGCCACCGTGCCTGGCCCTCTTTTTCTTTTTCTTTTTTTTTTTTTTTTGAGACGGAGTCTCGCCCTGTCACCCAGGCTGGAGTGCAGTGGCCGGATCTCAGCTCACTGCAAGCTCCGCCTCCCAAGTTCACGCCATTCTCCGGCCTCAACCTCCCGAGTAGCTGGGACTACAGGCGCCCGCCACCTTGCCCGGCTAGTTTTTTGTATTTCTTAATAGAGACGGGGTTTCACCGTGTTAGCCAGGATGGTCTCGATCTCCTGACCTCGTGATCCGCCCGTCTCGGCCTCCCAAAGTGCTGGGATTACAGGCTTGAGCCACCGCGCCCGGCCTGCCTGGCCCTCTTTTTCTTATCCATAGCCACGTGTGTTTCTGATTTGTAGATGTATTTGACTTTTTTTCCACAAGTGGAGTACAGCTGAGGGGCAGTGCTGTGGTACTCACTGAAAGTGAACACTACATGGGCACGTCGCCAGCAGTGGAGGCTGATGGCCTCCCCCAGCCGGAGTTTGCCCACAGAGTCACAGGGGCAGAGTGTGGAAAGTGACCCTTTGTTTTCTCTAAAAAAAGATATTTTATGAAAGCTGTCTAAGGTGGTATAATACCCCTTCAGATAAAAATTGCTCATATTAAAAATGGTGCTCATTAAAAATGCCGTCCCAGCTTGTGAGACGTTAATCACTCACTGGACTCTGCTTTTTAGAGGCAGAAGTGAATGTGATAAACCACTTGATAGCAAAGAAAGTTATTGCTTCTCTTTGAAACTGTTTTCGTGGATGAGTGCCTTGGATTCTTTGGAAATCATAGTTTAAAGAAAAGAACAGAAGGGTCCTTTCTGATATTTCAGAAATTTCATTTGGCTAATTGGCGCTTATTTCTCAGATTTTTCCGTTAAATCTACTTAAAAAAGTAATGGCTATGGGAGAAGGGCCCGAAGATCCGAAGAAATGCTTATCTCAGCAGTCATAACTGAATTTGGATGCTGTTTGAATTTGAACGCTGGATGTTCTGGAACATTTTAATACTTTAATAAAATAATGAAACTGTGATGGAAACGACCTCTGTCTGTAATTTTCCAGCATGATGCAGCCAGCCTGATAGTAAAGTAGGAAATCGAGTCTCTGGTTGTCCATTAGCTGACTTCATGGCCTCAGACAGGTCACAGCTTCTCCCATTTGGGAAATGTTTTCTTTGATCAGTTGAAGTCTACAGAGTAATAGAATCAAAGGTATAAGAGATATCAGTGGTAGTGTAACTTCCCATTTTTAGAGTAGTTGTCTTATTCTTTCATTTGAAAAACTGTAAACTGATGATAGCTAAGTTCCGACTTCTTCATTTCCATCTTGCAGATCACACGGCTTTGCTGTGGAGCATAGAGACAGGGAAGTGCCTAGTCAAGTACGCAGGCCACGTGGGCTCAGGTAAGCACTGCCTAAGGAGTGCCGTAGCCAGAGGCCATTGCCTCCTCCAGTGTGTTTTTAAAATCATGCATGGTAAAGCCCGCTGCTACTTCGTAGGAAGCTTTACTGTTTCGGTTGTCAAGGGACGGTGTGGTTTGTTCAGAGACTGGGATAACTCTGTGTCTTGAGCTTGTATGGGCTCAATAACAGGGAAAAGCTTAACTCCCTAAACAATGTACATATCGTCTTAGTCTACATTTTATTTAATGTATATAAACCATATGTAGGAAATTTTGTAACTGAAATGTGTGCATTATTTATCACAAAGTATCTGTTTTAGAGATTTACTTTTGATGTAGTGATAACTTGGATGTATTCAATAAAGGATACTCCATGAATGTGCTTGCGTGCCTGTAGTTAATGCTGTCCACGTAGTTAATGCTGTCCACGTAGCTCTTTTCTGCCTTTTCTTTTCTTTTTTTTTTTTTTTTTTTGAGACAGAGTCTCGCTCTGCCGCCCAGGCTGGAGTGCAGTGGCGTGATCTTGGCTCACTGCAAGCTCCGCCTCCCGGGTTCACGCCATTCTCCTGCCTCAGCCTCCCGAGTAGCTGGGACTACAGGCGCCCGCCACCTCGCCCGGCTAGTTTATTTTTTTGTATTTTTTAGTAGAGACGGGGTTTCACTGTGTCAGCCAGGATGGTCTCGATCTCCTGACCTCGTGATCCGCCCGTCTCGGCCTCCCAAAGTGCTGGGATTACAGGCTTGAGCCACCGCGCCCGGCCTTCTGCCTTTTCACTTAGAGCTGTGTGTGTACCAGTTTCCTGACCAGCTTTCGTTTCTGTTTCCTCTCGCACGTGGTATGTGGTTCCTTCCCCCGCAGTGCCCTCTTCACCTGCTCACTCGCCCTCCCTCACACCCTCCACACTGCCAGGCTGAGAGGTGGCATCACCTGTGTGCACAGAGGGACAGGTGTGGGTGGGGCCCGTGGCTCTGCGCACCTGTTTGCCCACCCCCAGGGCCCTGATGAGCTGCAGACCCCTCCCCTCCCCTTTCACAGGACCTCCTCTCCTTCGGCCATTCCTGCTGTCACCGTGTCTTCTCTTTCTTGCCCTGGACTTTTCCTCTTAGCATGTAGACAGGCTGGCACCTTTCCCGTGTTTGACGCCCTCCTCCGTGCTGCTTTCTTACCTGTCTTCCTCCCCTGGCATCCCACAGACTGGCTGGGGTGCCACAGTCATCTACAGTTTTCTAGCAGTGCCTGGTGTGTGTGTGATCGGTGCTCAAATGTAGAGCAAAATGCTGTTACAGGAACAAGCGCTGTATTTTTTCCTCATTCAAATTTCCTCTTCAGAAACATTAAAAAAATTAAATATATATGCATAGGCTAAAAACTTAAGACTTGAAAGTCGAAATGACTCCTCGATCCCTGGGCTGCAGAATGGATGTTGTGTTAGCAGGCATGAAATAACATTTATCTTGTACATCTCCATCAGAGCTCTTGGGTGAGCAGGTGCATTGTCAATGAGCCAGTTGTATTTTGAAAGTTGTAGGTCTCATTGGTAGGCTTAAAATACTCAGTCAACAATGCTGTCATCAGATGTGCTGTCATCCATGCTTTGTTGTTCCATTTATGGAGGACAGGTAGAGGAGATGTAGCATGATTCTTAAGGGCCCTAGGATTTTTGGAATGGCAAGTGAGCACTGACTTCAGCTGAAAGTCACCAGCCACTTTCGCCCCTAACAACAGTCAGCCTGTCCCTTGAAGTTTCAAAGGCATGGATGTCTCCTCTCTAGCTATGAAAGTACTAGACGGCATATTCTTCCAATATAAGGCTGTTTGTTTGCATTCAAAACCTGTTGTTAGAGTAACCATCTTCACCAGTGAGCTCAGCTGGATCTTCTGGAGAACTTGCAGCTTCTCCGTCAGCACTTGCTGCTTCACTTTGTACTTACATGTTGTGGAGACGGCATCTTAAACCTCATAAACAACTCTGCCAGCTTCCAGCTTTTCTTCCGCAGCTCCATCACCTCTCTCATCCCTCTTGGAATTGAAGAGAGCCAGGGCCCTGCTCTGGATTAGGCTTCGGCAGAAGGGAATGTTGCGGCTGGTTTAATCAATCCCAACCACTCCAACTTCCTGTGTATTGGCGTGCTTATCATTTGTGTGTTCACTGGAATAGTGCTTTTACTTTCCTTCAAGAACTTTTCCTTTGCATTCAGAACTTGGCTGTCTGGTGCAAGATGCCCAGCTTTCAGCCTGTCTCAGCTTTTGACTTGCCTTCCTCACTAAGCTTAATCATTTATAGCTTTTGATTTAAAGGGAGCGATGTGCAACTCTTCCTTTCATTGGAATACTTAGAGGCCATTGTAGGGTTATGAATTGGCCTAATTTTAGTATTGTTTTGTCTCAGGGAGTAGAGAGGCCTGAGCAGAGGGAGAGATGAGAGAAAGGCTGGTTGGTGGAGCAGTCGTAACTCCCACAACATTTATTGAGTAAGTTTGTGGTCTTATGTGGGTGTGGTTTGTGCCCCCCCCCAAAATGACAATGGTATCATCAGAGATCACAGGTCACTATTAACAGATACAATAATTATGCAAAAATCGAAGGTCAAGGTGCTCGCAAAAATAAATTAAAAAAATGAAAAAGTTGGAAATACTGCAAAAATTACCAACATGTGTCACAGAGACATGACGTGAACACATGCTGTTGGGAAAATGGTGGCAATTAGGTCTTCGACACAGGGTTGCCACAAACCCTCAATTTGTAAAAAATCCAATACCTACAAAGCACAATAAAGTGAAGGGTAATAAAACGGGGTATGCCTGCATCCACACACAGGCGAGTACATACACGCATAGTCATTTCTGTTCTCTAGAGAGGATTTAATTTTCCCCTGGCCAGCAGATAGAGTGGATGGCAAACCTTGATTGACTTAAGGGTTGGTGGCCGGTGGGTTTCAGGCTTTAGGGGCTGTGCTGTTCTTCTCGCTCTCCCTTGTTCTAAGGGAGTTGTCCTTCAAGGATGTGCCTTCACAGGCCCCGAGCTTTAGTTTCATCTGCCGGTACTCTCTGTGTTAGCTCTCAGAGGCTGCTTTCTGCTTGGTGTCCACCCTCATGCCCAGTTTAGGTGCTGTCAGTGCCTGGGGGAGGCGAGCAGCTGGCCTGCTCCTTCTGGGCTGCCTCTCCTGAGGGATCCAGCCTCAGCTCCCGTCGCAGCCCCTCACCTCTGGACTGCACCCTCGCTCCGGCTGGTCTCTGTGCCTTGAGGGAGTGCGTCAGGTAGGGGGGCCTCCAGTGCTTCCCTCTGGGGCCTCTGGGCTTCCGCGATGACTTAAAGCCTTTTGTTTATTTTTTGCTGTTTATCTGCAGCTTTTATAATTAATCCCAGTAGGGGTTTGAGTGGATCCATAGAGGCTGCCTTGTCCCAGCAGGAAGAAGTCTCTTCCTGTTCTTGTACCTGGCTTGTTTTTTGTTGGCTTTCCATTCTTCACGCAGGTTAATTTGACCTTCCTGTGTTCACCCACTCACCGTCACCATCTGCTCTTCTGGCCTCCAGTATTTGGTGTCTGTTTCTTCGCTCATCGTCTCTTTAGTTCTTTCTTTGTGGGTCTGTGCCTGTTTCTTCCAGGATGCCTCCTGCATTTAGAGAGGTGTCAGAGGGGAGAAGACGCCTGTGTTTCCGGCACGCTGTCGGGTTGCGTGTGTGTCTCCTCTTCCTCCTGGGGACCTGTGTTTGTGTTTTTCCACTAGGGGATTTTTTTGTTTTTTTTGAGACAGAGTCTCACTCTGTCACCCAGGCCGGAGTGCAGTAGTACGATCTCCGTTCACTGCAACCTCCGCCTCCCATGTTGAAACGATTCTCCTGCTTCAGCCTCCCGAGTGGCTGGGATTACAGGTGTCCGCCACCATGCCTGGCTAAATTTTGTATTTTTTTAAAATTTATTTTTAATTAATTTATTTTTTGAGACAGTCTCGCTCTGTCGCCAGGCTGGAGTGCGGTGGTGGGATCTCAGCTCACCGCAACTTCCGCATCCCGGGTTCAAATGATTCTCCTGCTTCAGCCTCCCGAGTAGCTGGGGCTACAGGCACGTGCCACTACACCCAGCTAAGTTTTGTATTTTTAGTAGAGATGGGGTTTCACCATGTTGGCCAGGCTGGTCTTGAACTTCCAACCTCAGGCGATCCGCCCGCCTCAGTCTCCCAAAGTGCTGGGATTACAGGCGTGAGCCACTGTGCCCGGCCTGGGATGTTTTGATCTCTTAAGTTGACCTAACTAAAGGGAGTGGTGGGGCTGGTGGGAGTTGAGCCAGTACAACTCTACAAGGAGGTGGTTTGACCCTGAATCACACTCTGCCTCTTTCCTCTTGGGTCCTCTGAGCAAAATGCCCAGGGGCAGACTCCCCCTTCTGTCCCCCAGGAGGGAAAAACCAGTGAGGGTCCCAGTTTTGCTGTGTCTGCGCCTCTCAGAGGCAGAGGTGACGCTGGTGGTAGAGGTTGTTGTCCCCTTTGTTCTTCTCTCTTTAGATTTCAGCTTAAATTTTATGACAGTTAAATGTGCATGTGATGGAAAGAGCCAGTGTCTTAGACACTGGATGAAGGGTAGCCGTGACTGGCATCCCCATTTCTGCTCCCCTCATGGCTGCTGTGGATTGGGTCAGGTGCCCATGGGTTCTGCTGCCACGCCTTTAAATCATGGCTCACAGTGCTGCCCTGGCCTTCTTGCTCCAGCCCGCCTGTTGACCGTCCACTGTGGAAGGTGACCGGGGGTGATTGAGCTCTCTCGAGGACCTCATTACACCAGGCGTGGTTTCCATCCTCACCCCAACATGATTCTGTGCCGATTTTGTAAGATCTGGGGTCAGTTTTCACATTATTATGCCTGTGTGAGCAGTGCTGTGAAGAAGCTGCCTCCACAGCTCCCGTCACCATGTGCCTGCCCTCCGCCTCCTTCTGTGGCGCGGTGTCTTCCACCCACTCCTCACGGTGGCCCACCTTCATTTGTGATGAGCTGAAGGTTGGGAGAGACATAATAAAGTGAAAATTGATCATCGATCTTACCAGAATTTCTCATCGAAATTGGAAGCGTTAATACTATTTATTAGTGGTTCTAGGGATAATTTGGTTTTAGCTCCATTGAGTGCTTAAGTTTATTGCTTGTAAGTGTACACAGTTTCCACCAGTGGCTTTTGCCACAGTTGTCTGTGTTTTAATATTAATAATGAGGCTATCTTCTAGCATTTTTCATTTAGTTACTTAGAAAAATATAATTCTAATGGTATAGCTAGCAACATTTTGTTAAGGAGATCACCTTTTCAGATTTGGTAAAATTTCCTGTATGTTCTATGGTAGGGACGTGCATTTTCTTTACAAGGGATGGAAATAAGGGTTGGTGTCCCCACAGTGACATGAGTCAGCTCTTTGCTCTGCTGACTGGTGCCGACTGACGTAGCTCACCCCATCCCAATCCCTGTCGTTTGCTTCGGGAAGATCCCAGGTGGGCAGTGTGGGCTCCAGACGAGGTCAGACCTGTGGAGCCGGGCTCTGTGTTCAGTGCTGACGTTTATGTGCGTGCTTGTGGTCCTGCTGACCACATGTCAAGCTCTTCTGTCTACATTCAAGACAGGAGCAAGGGGGAAGGTGAAGTGCCAGGGTCTCACGCTCCTTTTTCAAGAAAATGATAGTTTCCTCAGACCTCTGGCTGGGCGCAGTGGCTCACACTTGTAATCCCAGCACTTTTGGAGGCCGAGGTGGGCAGGAGTTTGAGACCAGCCTGGACAACATGGCAAGACTCTGTTTCTACTAAAAACACAAAAGACCCTGTCTCTACTAAAATAAAAATGGCAAGACCCTGTCTCTACTAAAAATACAAAGAAACCCCAAACTAGTCAGGTATGGTGGTACATTCTTGTGGTCCCAGCTACTTGGGAGGCTAAGGTGGGAGGATCACCTGAGTCTCGAAGGTGAAAGCTGTAGTGAGCTGAGATCGCACCACTGCACTCCAGCCTAGGCCACCAGAGTGAGATTCTGTCTCACAAAAAAAAAAAAAAAAAAAAAGACCTCTGCCAAATACCCCTTTTGTAAGGAGAGTGGGAGGACATCATAACCTGTGTAACCCAGTCCTGATTCATTCTCTGAGGCTGGCAGAGGTTATACTTTCTGGGGCCTGGGGTCTCTACTAGTCACAGAACAGATTGGGGTCCTTAGGCTGGGAAGGAAGGTGGGTGGGGTGGGGCTTGTGTAACAAATGGTGTCTGCCACACTATAATTTGTCTTCACCTGTTGTCATAATTATGTTTTCTTTTTTTTAATCCTGATTTATTTTTAGCTGAAAATGACATCCTTGTCTATAAAAAGAACTAGATGATGAATATCCTTTTCCTGGGTCCTAAACTGGGGTGATTTGGTGGTTCGTACCTTAGTTGTTTTTATTGTGCCTCTGTTCTAATTCACACATTTATGTATAGTTTAACTGAGTGGAGGATCTAATGTTGAACTCATAGTTCTTTTAATGTTGACTTTGAAATACACGCTATAGCTAATAAATGTTGATAACATGTTTTTGTCACTTTAAACCTGTTTTTATCATATTTTTATTTTGCAGTAAATTCTATCAAATTTCATCCCTCAGAGCAGTTGGCTCTCACTGGTATGTTGATCTTTTTCTTTATTGAACAAAATGATAGATGGTCTTAAAACAACTATAAATATTCCTTTCTTATCATAGGAGAATAATCCATGGCTTTTATGAAAGTTAATCTTTAGTAGACATTTTATGAATTAAATGAGAAATAGATAAAGGAAAATACATTGAGCAGTACTTTCTAGAGATAGTAGTGTATAAGCAGTTGGTTTTATTGTGAGATGAAGATGGCTTCACGGTCTTCTTGAAGCCTTTCTGTACAGTATCGGCATGTTTGTTGTTCCCCGTGTGGTTCCTGTAGATGGAGCTCCTCGAGGCCCTGTGATTACCGTTGTGTTCCTTTAGATTGTATGCATCTGATACGGAGAAATGAGAAAGGTAGCACAGAGACACGGCAGGTTGCCAGAGTCAGCAGTTTTACTTCTTTCTGGGTAATTTACCTAACCCGTGGTATCTTGGATTTGCCATAATTTCAGAGTAGTTTTAAAAACGTGCCTTCCTTGGTTGCTTTTGGAGGGTAGCCTTACAGTACTGAGGACTTTTCCTATGAGATTGTCAGACCCCCACAGATCCCCGTGGTAACTCAGGGACATTGGTGATGATCTCGAAGGATGTGTGTAGGCTTTCCGTAGACCAGAGGTCCTTAGCGCTTTTTCTGTAAAGGAATAAGCAGTGAATATTTTCATCTTTGTGGGACATTCAGGCTCTGTCGCCAGTACTGAGTTCTGCTCTTGCAGCATAAAAGCAGCAGACAGTGCACTGATGAGTGGACATGGCTGTGTCCTGCAACTTTATTCACAAAAGTGGGCGGCTGCCTGGGTTTCGCCTATGGGCCAGATTGTGCTCACCCAGGGATAGAACACCGAGGTTGAGATGACTGGCAGCTTCACGCAGGTGGAGTTGTTTAAGAAGGAGCCCCAGTGACGAGTACTTCCAGTGTGTGATGCAGCGAGTCACGCGGTTTGGTCAGAGTTTTTATGTGAGAGAGAAATGTGGTGGGAGGGTTAGACTGAGAGTCATTTTGAGCAGACCCAGACCACATAGCTGACTTTCACCTTCATACGTGTGTGAAGACTAAAGCAGACAAGGAGTTTACACCTTACGAAGTTGGCGGTTTGTGGGATGATTGGAAAGGGGGCAAGGAGACTGGTGGCAGTTAGATGTGTTCAGATTCAAACCAAAGGACTCGAAAAGAGGGTGGAACCAGACACATCCAGGAACTGACAAAGACTTGGAAACATGAGGTAATGAGCATAGAGAGGGGAGAGTTAGACTAGGAAATGTGAAGTAATGGGGATAGAGAGGAGAGTTAGACTTAGAAACATGAGGTAATGGGCATAGAGAGGAGAAAGTTAGACTGGGAAATGTGAGATAATGGGGATAGAGAGGAGAGTTACACCGGGAAACGTGAGGTAACAGGCATGGAGAGAGGAGAGTTAGACTGGGAAACGTGAGTAATGGGGATAGAGAGGAGAGTTAGATGGGAAACGTGAGGTAATGAGCATGGAGAGGAAGGTTAGACTGGGAAACATGAGGTAATGGGCATAGAGAGGAGGGTTAGACTGGGATTGGGCATGATGTTGATCTGAGGAGGAGTTGTAAGTCCAGGCAGTACATTTATTTGCATGAAACGTGCTGTGTCAGCTCAGAGCAGCTCCTTTAGGGAAGTTGGGTGGCAGTGAAGAGAAGATGGAAGCCAGCCTGCCTCCCGTGTGTGGGTGAGATGTGGCCATGCTGGTGTCCGAGGCCTGTTCTGTGCCCCACAGTGCTGTACTTTTGTCTTTCCAATCCTCAATAAAAGCGTTTCCTCGCAAACTGGCTGCTGAAAACAGAGCGGGACGAGAGCCGCACACATAAGGAGTGCTGATAGCTGCCTGGCCCATTGAAAGGCCGCATCTGTGTTGAATGGATGGAGATGAGTGTCGCTTTCCCGAACATCTCAGAGTTGATCGCAGCTCTGAGTTCTGATATGATAGGATTTCTTAGAGGTTAGATAGATGGAGAGGAAAATCTACTATTTGTACATTTTCTCTGAACTTCCAGGACTTCCTATGCTAGAATGAAAGGTGAAATAGTTTTTTAAGTGATCATTATTTCCTCAATTTTGGACATGTACTCTATTCTCAATAGCATTATGCAGTCTCAGAAAAGAGTTATTTAAGTAAAAAGTACATTCATCTCACTAAGTGGTCACTAAGCCGGAAAGGTCTGACTGCTGCTGCTCAGCCAGAGGGGCGGTGAAGAGCGCATTTTACCATGGTCTGTGCCTTGGGTAATTTTCCCCGATTTCTCTCTTCAGCTTCTGGAGATCAGACTGCTCATATCTGGAGATACGCGGTGCAGCTGCCGACACCCCAGCCTGTTGCTGACACTAGTGTAAGCACCTTTCCTTACCTGCGAGTGTGTAGGATGCTGATGTCTGCGAATCTGAGAATCCATTTATAATATCTGTCATGTACCGAATGTTTGTGTCCCCCCAAGTTCAGCGTTGAAGCCCTCACCCCCTGTATGGTCGAATTTGGAGATGGGGCCTCGAAGGAAGTAGTTAAGGTTCAGTGAGTTTGTGTGAGGTCCTCATAAGAGGAGATGGTGGAGAGCTCGCCTGTGTTCTCAGTCTCTCTGTCACTCTCTGTGTCATGTAAGGGCAGAGCCAGAGGGTGGCCGTCTGTAAGGACGAGTCCGCACCAGAACCTGAATTGGCTTGATCTTGGACTTCCAGCCTCCAGAACTGTGAGAAAATGTTCTGTTTTTTATAAATCACCCAGTCTGTGGTATTTTGTTATGGCAGCCAGAGCAAACTAAGACAGATTTTAGTACCACAAAGTGGGGGGCTGCTAAAGAAATGCCTGAAAATGTGGACATGGCTTTGGAGCTGGGAATGGGTAGATGCTGCAGGCGTTTTCAGGTACCTGCTGGAGAAAGCCTCCATGACTGTGAAGGGCTTGTTGGTAGAAATACGGACATTGAAGATGGCTCGGGTGAAGGCTCAGAGAGGAAAGGGGAGAGCTGGAGAGAAAGCTTTTAGTGTCTTAGAGAATGCAAGTATCATAGACAGAATGTTATGGAAAAGTGGATGTTGAAGGCTCTTCTGCTGAGGCCTCAGAGGAGGTGAGGGACACAGGTTACGGGGAACTGGAAGAAAGTGATCCTCATTACAAAATGGCCAAGGACTTGGCTGAGCCGAGATCTTGTGAATGAAATGTTAAAGGTGCAGCCTGGTTGCTCTCCTTGCTTATAATAAAGTGCTAAAGGTCGGAGATACTCTGAAAGAGTTGTTACGGGAAAGGGGATGACAACTTGTAAGATTCGGGAAATTTCCAGCCTATGCCTGTTACAAAAAAAAGAGAAGGCCGGTTCCGAAGAGAACATGCAGGGTTTGTCTGAACAGCCAGTTGACATGGAGGTGAGTGTGGGTGGGAGCCACGGCTTTAAGCACCCACTGCAGCAGGATCCAGGACTGGAGATGGGATTATACCCAGAGACTCCGCCAGCTCAAACCAGAGGGGACATGGTGGGGACAGAATGAAGGAAGGTGTCAGACTGCTGGGATTCCATAGCACAGAAACCAGCGCTGCCTGGGCAAGAACCTTTACAACCCTTCAAGATGAGGGAAGAACGCCCCTGAAGGTGATTCTGAGGTTGGTAGGGCTGCAGCTGTCACCGCAGTTCCCAGGACAAGGGCCTGTTTCTTCCTTGGTTTCGAAGTGTGGGGGCCTCCTTGGTTTCAGGGCCAGGCTGCCGTGGTCCAGTGCTGTGGGGGTGGGGCTGCCAGGCTTAGCCAAGGGGGTGACGCCCCTGCCCCAGCATACTTGGAGGGTGGCGCATCCAGCCCAAGAGGGGCTCTCTGGAGCCTGAAGAGCTCATGGAGTTTGCCTTGCAGGGTTTTGGACTTGCTTGGACCCCGCCACCCTTTCCCTGTTGCCTCTTTCTCTCTTTTGGAAAGGGAACGTCTGTCCCGTGCCTGCCCTACTGTTGTATTTTGAGAACACGTAACTCGTTTGGGTTCCGTGGTTTACGGCTGGAGGGGAGCTCAGCTTCAGGGTGGGCGAATCGCACCCTGAGTCCCACCCATTCCTGATTCAGGTGATGTTTTGTTGAGACTTGGGACTTCACACCTTAGCACTGATGCTGGAATAAGACTTCTGGGGCTGTTGGGATGGGACGACTGTATTTGCCATGCAAGAAGGACATGAATTTGGGGGAGGCCAGGGACAGGATGTTCTCAACTGAATGTCTCTGTCCCCCAGAAATCTGTGTTGAAGCCCTAATCCCCAGTGTGGCTGTATTTGGAGATGGGGCCTCTAAGGAAGAGGTTAAAGCAAAATGAGGTAGTGGAGGGGCTGCCCTGATCCCATAGGATGAGTGTGTCAGAAGAGACATCAGACACTCACCCTTATGGCCGCCCTTATGTGCGCACGCTCTCTCTCTCCCCCTCTCCCCATTTCTCCGTTTTTTTTGTTTTGTTTTGTTTTTTGAGATGGAGTCTCGCTCTGTTGCCCAAGCTGGAGTGCAGTGGCGTGATCTTGGCTCACTGCAACCTCTGCCTCCCAGGTTCAAGGGATTCTCCTGCCTCAGCCTCCCGAATAGCCGGGACTACAGGTGTGTGCTACCACACCCAGCTGATTTTTGTATTTTTAGTAGAGACGGAGTTTCACCATGTTGGTCAGATGGTCTCGATCTCTTGACCTCATGATCCGCCCTCTTTGGCCTCCCAAAGTGCTGGGATTACAGGCGTGAGCCACCGTGCCCAGCCTCTCTATGCTAATATTAATAGAAGAGCCCCTGTGGGCATGCTGCAGGATGGCAGTGCTACACACCGGAAGAGAGGCCTCAGCAGAAGCTGCACTGGTTGACACCTTCGTCATGGACTTAGAGTCTCCAGAACTGGAAAATAACTAATTTCTGTTGTTGAAGCCTCTTGGCCTGTAGTCTTATGTTTTGGTGGCCTGTGCTGACTGAGACAGCTCCTAGAAAGACGCTCCTTTACCTCTGTATGCATGCATCTGCTCCAGTCTTCCTTTCTACAGATAGTGAACGTTTATCATCACTCTCTTACAGTTTACGTTTGGATCCTGTTTCTTACTGTTTCGTCTGTTTAATATTAGACATCTGGTGTATCTTTCATGGACTTTTATCATCACATCAGCTAATGGCCTGTATGACATCAATTTTATGTGGTTCAAATTTAAACATAGATAACAAAAGATGTTGTGTATTGAGAAGAATGAATTCATGTATTTATACCATAAATTTGTAAAATTCTTCACTTACTGTTTGCCTTGCGCTGTCTGTGGTAGCCCAGCACCCTATGTTTATGATCACAAAGAGGCCTGAATGTTTCTCTGAGTGCAGTTATCTCCCTAGTTTCAGTGACAGGCTAAACGTTAGTGGCGTGATCTTCCCGCATGCTCAGCCCTCACTGTGCGCCTGAACAGGTGGGAACAGCGCCAGGCAGACAGCATAGATGATGTACACGTCTAGAAGTTTTCATTTTGTATTGGGGTGTGATTGTTGCAAAGATGAGAGTAATCTAGTTTTAATATTTTCATCTTGGAATACTCCTTGAGTTTTCTGCTTTGTGAACATTCTAAACTGTTCTATGAGGAGACAGTTAAGCAGTTAATAAATTACAGTGATAAATGAGTTCTCTTCAGTCCTAATAAAGGTTCTAATAGTTCATTTTTAACTGAATGTATTATGTATTAACATAGTTTTGTTCTCTTTGTGGAATTGCCAGACTATTCATTATGTAGTGCATAACACTGTCCACTAACATGCACATTTAGTGATGAAACAAGTGAAATGTGCGCTGATGGTGGGCGTGGTGGAGAGGTGAGGAGGGTGAGCATTGATGCTCAGGAAATTCAAAGGAGTTAGTGTATGGATTGTTTTCCAAATAAGAAAGACATCAATTTTATCAGAGGGAAGATTCATGTACAGTACTTACATTAAAAACACCTAATAGTTCACTTAGAATGTTCACTTAATTTAATTTTCTTCTTTACTACTTTGCTTGTGTTGGGTGAGTGCACTTCTCATGTTGATAGTTGCCACCTCAAGATTTGGGGCTGGTGTTGGGGGCTCTGAGTTAAAGACGAACCTCTGTGATGTGCTGTGACTTGAGCTGTCCTGGGAGCATTGCACTCACAGAGTTGTGTTGGGCCCTCCCTAAAAAAGAGGAGGCAGTGCAGCCTGTGGATGGCCAGGTCCCTGCAGAAACGGCGTGGGAGGTTCATTCCAGCACTACTGGATGAAATGAGGCTCCTTAGGTGGAAAGCAGTTTTGTTTTCTGAAGCTTTTGCCAGCCCGTCTTGACTCTGATTTGCTTAGCAGTTTTCATTTTAAATTTTAACACAAACTCTAATCTGTTAAAATCTGTATTCATCTTGAATCATTATAGCTTTTGGACAGATGTCTTGTGTTTTAAAATTTGCATCTGCGAGTTTTGCTTGACATCCACAGTGTTGATAAGTGTTTGGGTGGCATAGTGGAAACATTTAGACCAACAGAATGACTGTCGCATGCGAGTTAAGTTACACTGAGTTACTCGTTTAACTTCGTCGGCCTTCTTTTTATCCTTTGAGGGGTTTACCCTGTGGCTGCTCCTGGCTCTTTGCTGTGCTCCCTCTGGAGCCGTTTTCCCAGCCACATGCAGTGCTGTCACCCGTCACCCCCGGCCTTCAAGGTGACGTCCTGACTACTCCCCTGCTGCAGCCTGTCTGGTGGCCTCTGCCAGCCTTGTGAGCCTGGGGCCCCCCGGCCCCCCGGCCCCCCGTCCCGACTGAGCTGCACGTGCCACCCTGAACTTGCTGTCTCTGGGTGTTCCTTTCCTTGTGCCACCCGTTTCAGGAAACGTCCCTGTCTGTCACCCAGTGCTTTAGACCAAACACCTTTCCACGGTGTAAACACCTGTATTGTTCTCTTACTGCCTGTGGAAATCACCCTGTCAGCCACTCCTGCAGCAGAGGGCGCTTCAGTTCTTTCTTCCCACCCTACTCCAGGCCACCCTCTCTCATGGGCACTTCTCTCATCTCCTGTCCATCTCCTCCGTTGTTTTCTGGGGCTGCCATAACAACATGCCAGGGGCAGGGTGGCTTATAAACAACAGATCCGTGTTCCCACAGTCCCAGAGGCTGGAAACCCGAGATGAGGGTGTGAGCAGGGCTGGTTCCTCCTGAGGCCTCTTTCCATGGCTCATAGATGGATCTTCTCCTGGGTCCTTTATCCCTCTGGGAGTGTCTGTGTCCTCATCTCTTCTTACAAGGACGTCAGTCCTATTGGAATAGGGTCCACTCTCCTGGTCTCATTTTATCTTAATCACCTCTTTAAAGCCCCTTTCTCCAAACAGCCACATTCTGTAGTCCTGGGGTGAGGACTTCAGCACAGGAATTTGGGTCCACAGTTCTGCCCCTAGCAGCCCCTTCCACCGTTCCCTCCGCAGTTTGTTTACACAGCACACACCTGGCATCACACCCCGCCCACAGCCGTCTGGTGATTTTGCATCACACGGAATGGAACCTGGCATCCTTTCCACAGTCTCCCGGGATTACACGAGCTGTCCCGATGCCGCCTCGGATTTTGCCTCCTGTAGCTGTTCCGCACATGGCGGAATGCTGTTCCTCAGCATGGGCGAGCCTTACTTAACCCTTCCTTTCCTCACATCTGACTCATGTGCAGCCTCATCAGAGAGTCCCTCCTCAGTAATTCTATGTAAAATAGCAGCCCCCATCCAGCTGCCCCTTGTCCTATTTTATTTTACTTCATAGAACTTACTGCCGCCTTACTCTGTGTGGCCATGTTGACGTGTGTGCCCGTGCTGCTCTGCATCCATGTGATACGTGTTCCCGTGCTGCCGTGTGTCCCCGTGACGAGCGTTCCCGTGCTGCCGTGGGTCCCCGTGACGTGCGTTCCCGTGCTGCCGTGCGTCCCCGTGACGTGCGTTCCCGTGCTGCCGTGCGTCCCCGTGACGTGCGTTCCCGTGCTGCCGTGCGTCCCCGTGACGAGCGTTCCCGTGCTGCCGTGGGTCCCCGTGACGAGCGTTCCCGTGCTGCCGTGGGTCCCCGTGACGTGCGTTCCCGTGCTGCCGTGCGTCCCCGTGACGTGCGTTCCCGTGCTGCCGTGCGTCCCCGTGACGTGCGTTCCCGTGCTGCCGTGCGTCCCCGTGACGTGCGTTCCCGTGCTGCCGTGCGTCCCCGTGACGTGCGTTCCCGTGCTGCCGTGCGTCCCCGTGACGTGCGTTCCCGTGCTGCCGTGCGTCCCCGTGACGTGCGTTCCCGTGCTGCCGTGGGTCCCTGTGACGTGTTCCCGTGCTGCCGTGCGTCCCTGTGACATATGTTCCCGTGCTGTTGCGCGTCCCTGTGACGTGCGTTCCCATGCTGCGGTGGGTCCCTGTGACGTGTTCTCGTGCTGCTGTGCGTCCCTGTGAGGCGCGTTCCCGTGCTGCGGTGCGTCCCTATGACCTGTGCTCCCCTGCTGTTGTGCGTCCCGGTGATGTGCGTTCCTGTGCTGCTGTGCATCCCTGCGACTTGTGATACCGTGCTGCTGTGCGTCCCTGTGACGTGCGTTCCCGTGCTGCTATGCGTCCCTGTGACGTGTAATCCCATGCTGCTGCGCGTCCCTGTGACGTGTAATCCCGTGCTGCTGCGCGTCCCTGTGACGTGTTCCCGTGCTGCTGTGCCTCCCAGTGATGTGTAATCCTGTGCTGCTATGCGTCCGTGACGTGTTCCCGTGCTGCTGTGCCTCCCAGTGATGTGTAATCCTGTGCTGCTATGCATCCATGTGATGTGCGTTCCTTTGCTGCTGTGCGTCCCTTTGACGTGCGTTCCCTAGTAATGTGCTTGTGCTCATGACATTCCTGTGTTAGGCCATTCTTGCATTACTATAAAAAAATACCTGAGACCGGGTAATTTATAAAGAAAAGAGGTTTAATTGGCTGGTTCTGCAGGCTGTACAGGGAGCGTGGCACCAGCATCTGCTTGGCTTCTAGGGGGGCTTCAGGGAGCTTGGAGCTTTCATTCACAGCAGAAGGGGAAGCCGGAGACGGCATCATGTGATGGAAGCAGGAGCAAGGCGGAGGCGGGGGGTGCCCCACATCCAAACAGCCAGATCTGGTGAGAGCTCACCCCCTATTGTGGGGTCAGCACCAGGCTATGAGGAATCCTCCCCCATGAGCCAGACACCCCCACCAGGCCCCACCTCCAACACAGGGGATTCCAGTTCAGCATGAGATTTGGGCTGGGACAAATTGCCAAACTGTATCAGTTCCAGTACTAGTACTTGTGTACATACGACATACCTCCCCATACTAACGTGTGTGTCTGTATGTGTGTGTGTGTGTGTGGTCTCTCTCTTTTGCTAGTTCTCTGAGGGCAGGAGCTTTACCAGGGGTCTTCACCCCCGAGTTCCTACCTGCTAGATTGAGCGTAGTTTTGCATGTGTGCATGTCAGAAGCCCTCTGTCCTCTTCTGCACTGTGTAAGCAGCACCTGGCTGGGGGTGGGGACTGGCACTCTGTCAGCCCCTGATAAATATTTGTTGGATGAATATACAGATTTTCTTACAGAGCTGGCTGTAATGTGTTTGTTTTAGCCTTGGCCTTTGACAGGGGGCTTGATGTTACAAAGGAAAATAGACTTTTATGACTATAGCAATAGAATTCTAAGTATATTTTAAGTAGGCTTTTGAGAATGAAAATGCTGCTTTTTTGCAATGTAATAAATTACTGACTTTCACTTGTATTTGGTTAGTTTTATATTGCATTTCTACTAATAACTGATGAAAACTTAAATGTTGAAAATCATTTTATTTGCCATTCTGTTGATGCGTGGAAATAAATGGTAGTTCAGTTGACAGCATTGTGGATTCCACTTTTTTTCTGTATGAGATGGTTGTAGAGTTGATGGGCGTTCACGGGCAGCAGTTATGGGTCAGAGGAGGACATACTCATCACAGTGGCCAGCACCGGGCTCCTGGTGGTGGCCATCGTGATGGATATGTCCTCAAGAGATTAATGAGAACCATCTATTTTGTAGCTGTGTCAGAAGAAACTCAAGATTTCCAGGAAATGTCTTTCTTTTCTGGCCTTCCCTTTGGCAGCAGATATCTGGGGAAGATGAAGTAGAGTGCTCTGACAAGGATGAGCCCGACCTCGATGGGGACGTGTCCAGCGACTGCCCCACCATCCGCGTCCCGCTGACATCCCTCAAGAGCCACCAGGGCGTGGTCATCGCCGCTGACTGGCTGGTTGGGGGGAAGCAGGCTGTGACTGCCTCCTGGGACCGGACGGCAAACCTGTACGACGTGGAGACGTCTGAGCTTGTTCATTCTCTGACAGGTGCCTGGGTTCTCTGAGTCCGCTGCCTCCTGGCTGTGCATGTTAGTTTATGTCCATGGGTTATGTCTGACCTTGACAATTACTTCTTGACCAGAATGAGTCTCAGTCCTCTTGGCTCTTCTGTGGTAATTTTTGGAGATTCTTTCTGTTAATAATAGAACTGTTGGTAGCTAAATTTATTTTATCTTCAGGGGTTTTAAATTGTAGCATGTAGTATCTAGATATTGGAAATATGGTAGTTGTATTAGTTTTCCATTGTTCTGTAACAAATTTCCACAATCTTAGTGTCTTAAAGTGACAGGAATTGATGGCCTTATGGTTTCCCAGGTCAGGAATTTTGGGCCCATGGTAGCTGCTCTTCTCCCTGGGGCCTCAAAGACCTGAGTGAGGATGCTGCCTGGGCGGGACCTCCCTGAGGCTGCGATCCTCTTCCAAGCCTGCTGATCATTGGAGGAGGCCGTCTCTGCGGCTGGAGTCTGAGGCCCTGTCTTCTTGCCGGCTGCCAGCCAGGGCTCCTCTGGGTGTGCAGAGGCTGTGCCTGGCCCCGGGGTCCCTGCACAGGGCATGCCTTTCCCACACAGCAGCCACTTTCCTCTGCAGCTGGAGCTCCCCTGCTGCTCTGAACTCTCCAACTTCTGTGACCTTTTTTAAGGGCTAGGCCGGACCACCCAGGACAATCTTCCCTTTGATGAACTCAAAGTCAACTCATTTAGGGACCTTAATTACATCTGCAAAATTCTTTTTGCCTTATAATGTATCATAATTACCAGAAAGATAATCTCATCCTATTTACAGGCTCTGCCCTAACTGAAGGGAAGCGCGGCAGGCATGTACGGGGTGGGGGTGGCTTGGGGCCATCTTGGGGTTCTGCCTACTGAAGTTGCTTCTGCGAATCTCTCTGTAAGTGCATTTCCTGCATGAGCGTTAAAGATTGTATTTGAGTGAGGACCCACAGCGTAGTATCATTAGAAGATATTCTAAGCAAAGAATTAAGATTTAAGTGGTTCTCACATTCAGCCTGTTAATTTGCCTGACCTTCTAACTGTTAGGGTCAGAAAATGGGTTATGCACCTGCTTGGTTTTCTGTTCCTTTGACGTGGACGGCTGAAAGGACTTCAGCTTCTGAGGGAAAACCTGCCCCACCGTGACCCACATGCTGCTGAGTGATTCCATTAGGTCAGGTTCACATTCTAAGAGAGATGGCTTCTTGGGTTCTTGTGCTGTTGAAAAGCTTTTTTCTCAGTGTGCTCCTCAGGTGATGACCTTGTGTTTTGCCATCTTGGTTACAGGGCACGACCAGGAGTTGACGCACTGCTGCACACACCCTACCCAGCGGCTCGTGGTGACTTCTTCCCGCGACACGACTTTCCGCCTCTGGGATTTCAGGGACCCCTCCATCCACTCGGTGAATGTTTTCCAGGGACACACGGAGTGAGTTGTGGTAGTTTAGACATCTGTCTTTAGCCATGAAAAAAGTTCTGTGGGTTGACATGAAAACTTAATTCTAGTCTTAATTTTCAGTATTTACAACTCTACTATCTTTCAAAAAAACGACTACCTTTCAAATTCTGCTATTCTTTTTCTAAACATTTAGCTCCATTTTGGCTATTTCAAAGGATCTAGGAGATTGACAGAGGGCACCCTCAGATGTTCTCTTGAGAAGTTTAAAGAAGACAGAATGGGGGAGTTGGGTGGAGAGGTTTAGAAAAGAGCAGGGCTGCCAGAGCCTGTAGCTGAACACAGGGGCTGGCCACGCCACCGTGTGCGCCGCGGGAGCTGTTACTGCCACCCACAGGGCCTGTGGCTGAGCACAGGAGCTGGCCATGCCACCATGGGTGCCGCGGGAGCTGTTACTGCTACCCACGGGGCATCTCCTGGGTCTTTTCCATCTAGTTTTTGTTATTACACGTGTCTGTGTGGTATATTCTGGGAGAAGGTACACACACAGATGCGCACGCAGACATAGACCCTCAATCCAGTGTGTCCCTTTCTGCTTGGGTTTCTCTCCGGCAACTCAAGCGTAAGGTCTTAACAGAACTCATCAGTTCTTTCTGTAACCGCCTCCTTCCCCGAGTCTGGCCCTGCTCAGTCAATGATGAGACTTCCTGCCCACTCATGGGGGCTGTCTACCTAGAGTGTTCCCTGGTTCTTCTCTTTTAACCTCTGCTCCCCGTTCCCCCATCATGTCCCATGTGGTCCACTGGCAGGTCTGCTGCCAGCCGTGCCTGTGGGATCTGTCCCGGCCACTCCTCGCTCCTCCATGCCCCCTCAACCTCCCACCAGTGCTGCTTTCCACTCCACGTCTGGATAAGCAGCGTGCAGTGAGAGGTTTATAAATGAACTCCAAATAGGAAAATCTGTTCTATATGTTTAACGTGAGTTACTAAGTTTTAGATTTAGCGTTCAAAATGTTAGTAAGATGTTGGAAAGGAAAATAGGACTTTTTGTTTGTTTGTTTGTTAATAGACGGAGTCTCTTTCTGTCGCCCAGGCTGGAGTGCAGTGGCACAATCTCGGCTTACTGCAACCTCTGCCTCCTGGGTTCAAGCGATTCTCCTCCCTCAGCCTCCCTAGTAGCTGGGATTGCAGGCGCCCACCACCACGCCTGGTTAATTTTTGTATTTTTAGCAGAGGTGGGGTTTCACCATGTTGGCTAGGCTGGTCTCAAACTCCTGACCTCAGGCGATCCGCCCGCCTCGCCTACCGAAGTGCTGGGATTATAGATGTGAGCCATCGCGCCCGACCAGGACAACGTTTTCAAAAAGAAGCTTGAGATTGGAAAGCTAATTCCTTGACTCTGAGACTGGAACAGGAGCAGGCAGCAGTCACGACCACGCGTAGAGATCTTTATGTCAGCCTGGGTCTGTTCGGGGGCATCACACGCATTAAACTACTCCGTCCTGACATCAGGTCGGCGTTTATTCTGCCAGCTCCATTAGCGATAGCCACAGTAATACAGACCTCCTGGCGGTCAGTGGCTGAACACAGCACCGTGTTGTTGCTGCATCAGGGTGCAGTGGGCACCGAGCTGGGCCCCCATGAGCTCCGCCACATGGCCTGACCCCGCTGCAGGCCAGCTCATCGGTGAGGAAGATGCCGTGGCTCGGGGAGCACTGCTTCCTATGCATGTTAGCTTGGATGTGGTGCTCCCTGACGTCCACCAGATGCAGAGGGGCCCCACAGCAAAGCCCTGGCTGCACCTGGGCCCGCCACCTGGCAACACTGCAGGTCGGGGCAGAGGGGCCACATGGCTGCTCTGCTGTTCCTCATGAGAATTCACTGGAAGGGCAGTTGGAGGCCTAGAGGGTGGGAGGAGCAAGATGGTCTCACTCCTGCACCTGCAGTGCTTTCCTAAGCTTTTTTCTTAGAAAAGTTTCAAGCCTACATAAAAACTAACAGAGTAGTACAGTATACCCACAAACCCTTCACCTAGGTTCGCCTGTTGTATTGCAGCACTGCTGTCTCCTTACACGTGTACACACCTCTCTCTGAAACACACGCCCACTAACCCTTCACCTAGGTTTGCCTGTTCTTGTATTGCAGCACCACTATCTCTCTTTACACGTGTACACACTGCTGTCTGTAACACACACGCCCACAACCCCTTCACCTAGGTTTGCCTGTTGTATTACAGCACTGCTGTCTCTACATAAGTGTAACACACACGCCCACTTACCCATCACCTAGGTTCGCTTGTTGTATTGCAGCACCGCTGTCTCTCTTTACACATGTGTACACAACTCTCTCTGAAATACACGCCCACTTACCCTTCACCTAGGTTCGCCTGTTGTTGTATTGCAGCACTGCTGTCTTTGTAGACGTATACACACCTCTCTCTGTAACACACACTTGTATATTTTCTTTGGCTGAGACCTTTGAAAGGAAAACTCCAGCATGCATTTTCTAAGAATAAGGATGTTCTCGGCCGGGCACGGTGGCTCAAGCCTGTAATCCCAGCACTTTGGGAGGCCGAGGCGGGCGGATCACTAGGTCAGGAGATCGAGACCATCCTGGCTAACACGGTGAAACCCCGTCTCTACTAAAAAATACAAAAAACTAGCCGGGCGAGGTGGCGGGCGCCTGTAGTCCCAGCTACTCAGGAGGCTGAGACAGGAGAATGGCCCGAACCCGGGAGGCGGAGCTTGCAGTGAGCTGAGATCCGGCCACTGCACTCCAGCCTGGGCGACAGAGCAAGACTCCGTCTCAAAAAAAAAAAAAAAAAAAAAAAGGATGTTCTCCTAATATAGTAGCATTGTTCAAATAAGAAAATTAGTAAAAATTCTATGGCATCCTTTATCTGGTCCATATTTAGATTTACTGAGTTCTCCCCAAAATGTCTTTGATACTTTTTTTAGATCTAGGATTTAATCAGGATTCTCTCATCACATTTAGATATTATGTCCTTTGACTTCTTTTAATCTAGAATGGTCCTTCCCCCATTTTTTGTTACTTTTTAGGACATTGAGTTTTTTGGTGAAGAATCTTGGTGCTCTTTTTTAGAATGCCCCTCATTCTGCATTTTTCTTATGACTTCCTTTAAAGTACCCCTCTGCTGTGCTATTGGTGTGCTGAAGCACTCCTGCGGTTAAGATGGCGTCTGCAGCTGTGCCTGCCAGAGGTGCTCTCCTGTTTCAAATAGTGAAGCGACACTGTTCCATGGATGTTAATTCCCCAGTGACCTTTCCTCGGTCCAGGGCCTCAGCTCATTGTTATGTTGAGTCCTGCAGAAGGGGATCTTTGTAATTCTGTCTACACTGGTTAGTTGGCACTGTGTTTTTTGAGTGTTAGCGAGCATAGACACCTGCACTTTGTTGGTGTTGGTGGTTGTGATCCCTGTGGTTGCTTTGGTTTTGGCTTCTGAGTGCCCTCCCACCCCCCCACCCATGGCACCTGCAGGGCCGAGTGCCACCATCCTAGCACAGCTCCCTGCCCCAGGCTGGGACGACCCAGCAGCTCTCACTGCATTGACTCTGGTCATCTGTATGGAGCACAAAAATCTGTCAGAGCTTTGAGAATTGGGTAAAGAGGATAGTTTTGTGTCTAGAGAGCAGGGCAGCTTCCTATGTGCTTCCGATATGGGGGTCGCAGGTATAGACTGGTGTGCCCTGCCGTGTCTGTCCCCTATGAGGGCAGAATGGAAAGGCCCAAGAATTCTGTCCAGAGGAGGATGCAGTGGAGCCAGGGCTTGGTGAGTTGCTGGTTTGTGCCAGACACTGTTGGAGCCCCTGGCATCACCCCAGTTCAGAGAGAGAAACTGAGGCATGAGGACGCCAGGTGGTTTGCTGAGGGTTTGGCTCTAGGGGGTGATTCCAGAGCAGTCCCTCCTGGTGCCTTCAAGGTGCCTCTTGTGTTATTTAAGACCCTTCTAGCCCTGTGTTGTCTCTGTTCAGTTACCTTGTTTAATTAAAATACTTTATTTTTGTTTTGTGTAAAAAGAAAAGTTTTTGTATTTGTAATTAAGACCCTTCTAGCCCTGTGTTGTCTCTGTTCAGTTACCTTGTTTAATTAAAATACTTTATTTTTGTTTTGTGTAAAAAGAAAAGTTTTTGTATTTGTATTACTGGAGTTGATTGCAAGTGCATGTTTTTGCTTCTAAGGCTGTTGCAACCTTGTGGTCTTGGCCATTTGACTGTGAAGTGTAGTGAATGCTGGTGGCATCTTTAAACCATCTGCTTAGGCCGGACGCAGTGGCTCACGCCTGTAATCCCAGCGCTTTGGGAGGCCGAGACGGGCGGGTCACCTGAGGTCGGGAGTTTGAGACCAGCTTGACCAACATGGAGAAACTCTGTCTCTACTAAAAATACAAAATTAGTCAGGTGTGGTGGTGCATGCCTGTAATCCCAGCTACTTGGGAGGCTGAGGCAGGAGAATCGCTTGAACCCAGGAGGTTGAACCCAGGAGCCGAGATCGCGCCATTTTACTCCAGCCTGGGCAACAAGAGCGAAACCCCGTCTCAGAAAAAAAAAAATCTGATTAATTTGTGGTAAATTTTTGCAGCTGGTGGATACGTGAAACAATGGTTTTTAGAGAGCTGTACTTATGAAGAATGTAGTAACTGTTTTGAAGGAGTTCATATTAATGTGGACCTATGAATACAGTTTCCTAGGGTTTATGTCTTTCTATTGGAATCAGGTGTGGGGGTAGAGTAAGGTGGAGTGTGTAATTCCGTGTGCCCTCTCTCCCACATGGGTCTTCCAAGCTGTAGTCTATGCTTCCACTCACCTGAACCGTGGGCATGAGGTGAACGTGGACCAGACCTGCCCAGGCCAGGCTTACTCAGATCGTTTATGCTTTCGTTTCTTACTCAACTTATCATGAAGTAGCGTATCTTGTTTATGTGTACATCCAAAAATAAGTTTTGAAAAGATCTCTTTGGTGCTAATTTTGTTGCTGCGTCAGGGCGAGTCCACTGGGCTCCTGGACATCCAGCTT